ACCGCCTCTGATGACTATGACTACTGCTGACAGCTTTCAGAAATTGCATCATCCCCCACCAGAGAAAAATTTGGGCATAGACTTCATCAAAATTGCCTTAAAATTCAGAAGATATCCTTAGGATGGTGTTTCACATTGTATCCCTGTACTGGGCTCACCAGTCATGTATGGGCCACAGCTCCCCAGAGCACTATCTGCTGTTTTTAGTGCCAGACCAGCAGTTGTCTGTTGAAGAGGAATACCTGTGTTTTCTCTAAGATGGTGGTAGTGTGTGCCAAAAAGGGCAGCTTTCTGATTTTACTTGTTTTTAGAGACACAAAGAAATATGGGAAGCAGAATCAGCTGAAACAATCACTTTACAAGTCACAGTGTTTCTCAGACCTTGGTGCAACCTGCATATCAGATATCAGCCTTTGTAGGCCTGTCCTTCGCTTTGCTCCCTGCTATTGTTGCCTCCTTTAAGAAAAAGAAGGGCAGCTGTAGACAGCTGTGCTCTTCCCATGTTATTTCCAGATGAATACATACTTGCTATGGAAAATTGTCTGACGTTTATTTAAAGCACACTTTCAGATTATAAAATTAAGATTTCCTCAATTAAATAATGCCCGTATTTGCATTGTACAATCACATTTTAGACAAATGCCTATGCACAAAAATCTACACAACTTATACTGTGTAATTTCTTTAAGTTATGCTATCTCCAGCTCTTCCGGGTTTATTTCCAGAGGAGCTGAAGACTCAGCCCGCATTGATAGGAGGCAGACAATATGTACGTAAGAGTATCAGTTTATAGCTAGCTGGCATTCCCTCTCATTCTTATCTCATACTTCTCTCAGCTGATTCCCTAAAATGTTCTCTGTAAGATGAGTTTTGGGTCAAAATGTAAATTTTCAATCTGTCTTTGCGCCTGAGGAGAGTAAACATACCACTTTAGAACATGCATGCTTTCCCTTTCAAATTCTTACGTCCCACTTCCATTTATTCTTTCCTAGTGAGATGACAGACCCAGAAGCCAAGAGAGCTGCTCATGCGGCATTCTCCTCATTGCACATTTAATGTGTTACTGCTCTGGATGCCTGTGTGTGGCTTTAGAAGCAGTCTAAGATTCGTATCACTGCAGAGCATGGAAATTTACATGCTGAATGACATGATTGTAAAAATGGATAATACATGCGTTAGCTCCATTTAGGCAGCAAAACCTCAGACCGCTGATTCAGTAACAGATCAAAACTGATGCTCAGAATCATTTGCGGTGCAGAATTCATGTATTTTAAAATATATTAGTATATTCTCACCCAGTAAGTATTAATAGCATAGGTGAGATTTCATCATCCACAGTTACTGCCTATGGCTGTGAATAGAAAAGGCACTGAGTTCATATGAAATAGCAGTCACTGTCATCATGAAACATGCTCTTTGGGAAATCTGCCAGTGCCTGATACTGCTGGCCTCCCAGA